GAATTTAGGCGAGGCAAAAAGCTCACACATATCTTCCCAGTTTTCTTGACTAGCACAAAAAGAGGGCTTGGTATTCTTAGCTTCTTCATGGGACGAATATTTCTTATAATGTTTATGCAGTCTGTAACGTTTTTGGCGTGAACTAGCTTGGACTCTATCAATAACGCAACGTTTTACACCCGGATCATCTAAATTAATATCCATGTGGATCTACACAAATAAAAATGAGATTATTTAAGTTGATATAAATAATGTATTCATGCGACTTGAAAAGTGTTTCTAATTTTTACCTTTATATGATCAATACCAGGTTGAAGATCTTTTTCTTCATCAACATCTTTCCACCTTACTGGCACCGAAAGTACATCTCTGGTGACTACACCAATCTGACTAGAAAACTTTGAAGACTTGTCTCTACTTTTAGGTCTTCTGATCGATGGATCCACAATTACCTTCATTTTTTTTCCCACAAGCCTGGAATGCCTTCATAATACATTTGCCCATGGTTTGTCCACGTCTTTTCTTAATGGTGGTATTGGAAGCTGCATATTCACCACTCAATTATTTTAATTAGTCAAAAGCATCATACTCATAAGATATAAAAAAACTTAAAAATATAATCGAATGTCCGATCTCTTAGCCACAAATAGGTAGCACAACAAAATTGATTGAACTAATAAATGATAAGCTATGTATAGTGTTAATGAATCATGCTCTGTTAGAATTTTCCAAATAAAGAAAAAGACAAGAAAAAAAGATATATACAGCAAAGTTAATTTTTCTATCCAGATAACGAATGTAAAAAAATGGTTGGAAGGCATGTTTCTAGTAAACAATAATCAGCGTGAAAGAGTTAGTGCAATTCAAGAAAAAAAAAAGCGCATAACATGGTTTGAGCAAGGATAATTAAGGTAGTAAATAATAGACTACACTAAATAAACACTAGGTCTCGCTCGAGTAAAGTACAAGAGGCATCAAAAATTTGAACAACAGGAAGACAGTAACATATTTTGATATCTGCAATATAAAGAAAACCAAAATATCTTTTGGCAATAAGGTCCATCAGTAGAGTGATTCCAGAATTGCAAATAAAAATCTTGTATAAAAATTGTCCATTAAATTTAACAAGTGCAATGAATGTATAGTTTGGAGATGAACAAGTCATTTTGCAACTAAATAACACCAACTAATAAACAAAAGTAAAGCATCCAATGCATATGAAGACAACCCAAATTTTCTACAAGAAACCAAGTAAAAGTCTTAATATATAACACATTTAGAAAAAGCAATCAAGTTACCTAAACATGTAACTATACAAAAAGTGCAAAGAACTTGCAAATACTGAATAGCTAAAAATAAAAACAAAGAACCATAAAAATTTGCAAAAACTGCTTAATTTTCAATAAATAGTGATTTTGAAAGTTCCCTTAAATGTATATAATCCCCTAAACTCCTTGTGCCATATGTCCATATATGATCTGTAAGCTTCGCTGTTTATCTCAATTTCTTCATTTCCAACAAGTTAACTACTTTCATAGCAAGACGTACACATTGATATCAACTTTTGTTTATATACCATCTACTTTCATGAATAATGACAACACACGGCTCTTCACCACTACCAAACAACATCAGTTAGATCAAATAACATAAGAACACAATTTAAACCTTTCAGATCCAGTGAGACGTTCGGTTAGGAATCACAAAAAGAGGCGCACACTAAGTATCAAATCAACAATTCAACCCAACCAAGGTCAAAAGATCCCATTTTAGAATCAGCCAACAATTAATCTCCAAATGTCAGAACTACGAACAGAAAAACCACTCCTAATGCTACAGGCTTCTACAAGTACATGCAAAATCAACATAAATTCTAACACACCCACATCGATATTGTGAAGTAAAAGTCTTAATATCACACATTTAGAAAAAGCAATCAAGTTACCTAAACATGTAACTAGACATATACGCATCCACATCGATATTGTGATATCAATTCAAAAGGAAACATATTGTACTGCCTATCAATACTTGAGCTAATACTTAAAAGAATAATGAAATAAAAAGATCATAGGGAAGAAGAAATTGATATATAATATAAAAAAAAACAAAAAAAAACATAAAAGTCTAATCACAGTTCATGAAACAACACATCACAGTTCATGAAACAACACAACACACAGTTAATGAAACAACACAATAAAATTTTAGAGTTTTAGCTATGTACCAATGATATCTTCCTGTGATTGAGAATTTTGACTTCCCTGATGTGATGGAGGATCGGGAGTGCTTTCATTTTGTTGAGTACCTTCAGGAGTCATCTCCTTCTGTTGAGTTTGAGGAGATTGGATACTTGGAATAAAAGTACTCTCATTTTGTTGAGTTTGAGGAGATTGAACATTTGGCAGGTTGCCCTCAAACGTGGGATTTGCAGTTTCGGTTCCTATAGACGAACCATCGGTTAATGGCAATCCTTTGTTCACTTTGTCTGATCCCATATTAGTCTTCTCGGATTGCCGTTTATTACCCCTTGCTGAACTTCCTGTCTTCGTCATGTGATCTATGAGACTCTGCCGAGAATTCGGTATGATTTTTGTTCTTGAATTCTGAACTAATCCAGGAGCCATTTGAAACCTTTTGTATCAGGCAAAAAAAAAATCCATCAGAATGAAAAGTAATGCATAACTGAATGATTGATGTAAAATAGAAACAATTTGATGTAAGGCATAATATAAAGAACCAAGATACTACGAGAGAGTCTTCTTCCAGAACAACCAGTTGCTGTATAATAGATAATGACGGATTATCTTTGAGACTTTGATAATTGTTAGCCTAAACTTTTACTTATATGAGTGAAAGGGGGGAGAGATATTTGCTGAAGATACGGTCAAAATAATTTCAGTGTTTATCTACCTTAAATTTATAAGATTACCAAAATTAACTCGTGAGCGCCAAAGCAAAAAAAATTTGTCCGCCAATGTTTTAGTCATCGAAAGTTCACCATATTACCCTTTTCACATCTTAACACCTAAAGAACCAAAAAACAGGCCGATTGATATGCGAAGAAAATGAAAGCCCCAAACCTGTGGTGCCCTATGACCATGGGTGTGACGATATCTCTGGCAAGCCTCTGCACCGGCGTGACCTATGACTGAACCTCCATCGAGAAGAGGCTATCCCTCGGCTACAACACCTACTCTGTCACCGTGCAGACCCCGCCGTCCGCCCGTACCACCCCCAACCTTACCCTCCCCCGTCTCTTCGACCTCGATCACGCACGATCCCCGTCTCCTTCCTCGTCCTCGTCCTCGCTGCCGATTTCGAGCATCAGGTGACGGGCGTCCTCAAGGCGGAGGTTTCAATTCAGATTACCTCGTGAAATTTGTTCCTCAATTGATGAATTCAAACCAATTTGCAGTATTCGGATAAAAAACGAGTCCAGATTGTCGGGCCTTTGCGGATTAGCGAGCTGATTTTTAGATTTTGTCTTTTTTGTTTTAGGAAGGATTGGGGAAGATGAACGGGAGATGAAAAAATGAATTATGTGTTATAGATTTTTGTGGACCGAGTTTTTTGTTTTTTTTTTGGTTGGGAGATGAAATTAGTTGACTTTTTTTGTTCTTAATGGCACACTTGCAATTTTAGGTTATTAATAAGGTTAAATAAGGTATGTGGAATAATATTTATATAATAAAATTGATATATAAAACCTTTTTTATATAAATACTTTGTCAATTTAAATCATTCAAATACTTAAGCTTACTAATTAATAACATCTAATATATATCCATTATAGTTAAATATCTACTTTTTATATATATTAAAAATACTAGTGCGTATGCACGGTGATATGGGATATCATACCCATTAGGCTGAAACGGTCTATTGACCGGTCGAGGAGGTCGTATTATGGGGAAGTCAAGGAAATCGAGCAGTTAACCAGTCGACCAAGTAAAGTTGTCGACCAAACTATCCTTCGACCAGATACATGAACGGGCAATTTATTCGACCTCAACAGGTCGACTACTTCGAGGACTTAACACCACGTTGATCGGCCTAGTCACAGGCGCGTGAGAGAGCCTCTAACGGAATTCCAGGGGAATATTTACCCCATGTGCAGGGGGACACGTGTCGAGAAGGCAGTGGTGGATAGCGACAACCACCTCTGACAGCCTACCCCATGTGCAGGAGGACACGCGTCCAAAGAGGATTGGTGCAGGCGATAGTGGCGACGGCTACCTCTGACACACGCGTTCGGTGTGTACGGACGGGCAGTTAGGGCAGACAGCTCATCAAATCCGGGCAGCACTACGTCAGGTATCTCACCCCTATATAAAGGGGGTGAGCCTTTCTTCTTCAACACGATCATTCTATTACTTACTCTTGAGAATTGATTGAACATACACTGACTTAAGCTTCGGAGGCTCTTCACCGAAAAACCCCCCGGTGTGAGAGTTCTTTGTAGGTGCACGACGTTCAACCGGTGAGAAGGAAGGCGATTATTCAAGTTCCAGCCGGTCGAGGAGTTTTGTGCTACCATTTGGCACCGTCTGTGGGACTTTCGTTTGAAAAGGTGTGCTTGAAGCTCAGCTATGGCGGACGGAATTCCCAAAAACTTACAGTCAACGTTCGATGATGCTTGGACAACGACCAGGCCGTTGGGACAGGGTCCTCCCCTGGGTTTTTCTGGCCCATCGCAGACGCCGATCACTCCCGTACCTGTGCTCCAAGGTGTGGGGGTGGCAACGGCGATTCCCGGAGGAGACGCCGGCCCCAACCATGCTCACGAGGCCCGCGCAGCGGATGCGGCGGCGATGCCACCACCACCACCACAAAGCTCAATGGCAGCGCAACCAGGGGGAGTGAGAGTGCAACTGGGAGCGACGGTGGCGTAACCGGGAGGAACGGGGATGCAACCAAGAAGAGCGGTGGCCCAAGGAGGAGCACCGTCGTGAGCAGCGGTTCAGATCCCCGACCAGCAGGTGATAATGACCAGGCAGGAGATGCAACGAATAGTGGCGGAGGCAGCTGCGCAAGCGGTTCAGCAAGTCACAAACAGTCTCTCTCGGGCTACAGCAACGCCGAACACTGTTGCAGGGTCACGCCAAAATGCGGAGGAGGATGAATCCAGCTATGGTGGAGGCAGGCCCACGCATGACCGGGAGATGGAGAGGATGGCGGAACAACTGCGCCAATTGCAGGCTAAGGTGGATGGTCGAGCGGAGAGACGCGCTCGAGGACACCCGTTCTCGGCGGACATACTAGCAGCACCCTTGCCAAATAATTACAAGGATACCAACTTGGTGTTCGATGGGACTTCTGATCCGTCGAGACACGTGAGGACATTTGAGAATATGGCTGTGTTGCACGGATATACTGATCCCGTTAGTTGCAGGGCCTTTTTATCGACCCTTAGGGGAGGGGCGCTCGACTGGTTCCAACAGCTCCCCCCAGGATCGATAGTAGACTTCGAGGATTTTGTGGAGAAGTTAACAAATCAATATTCGAGCGCGGTGGCTCAGGAGAAAACGTATTTGACATTGATGGCGATGAGACAAGGCGAGAAGGAGTCACTGCGTAAATATGTCGCTCGACAATCAGGCTTGTTTGTAGATTCCATCGGCGGTCGATGAGGTCAAGGCGGGAGGATTGATTAGGAGTTTGCGGGCAGGACCGTGTCGGACTTCTCTGGCTAAGACTCCTGCTCATACGTATGATGAGGTGTTGAGGAGGTGTAGGAAATATATTAATCTCGAGGAGACCGAGGCGGAGTTTGCCAAACTAGAGAAGTTAGGTCGAGGGGAGTCGAGGAAGGAGAAAGCAATTTCGCCTAAAAGGAAAGCCTCACCCATGAGAGAGGGGCGAGCTAAGAAGGATCGAGGACGAGAGGACAGATGGAAGGACCGGCCTATCTCTGGAGGGAAAAGATTCCATGATTACACCCCGTTGAACGCGAAGGTAGCTGAGGTTTTGATGGCCATGGAGAAAGGGATAGATGGGAAAGATGTGACGTGGCCAAGGTCGAGGTTCGAAGGACCAACCCAACCGAAGTCGAGGAGATATTGCCGCTTTCACAAAGACTATGGCCATACTACTGAGGATTGTCGGCATCTCAAGGACGAGATTGATCCTTGAGCGCCTTATTCGAGCAGGGCATATCAAGGAGTTTGTTTATCAGAATAAGGGGAGGAGGAAGGAGAAGAGAAGGTGTCGGGAGGACTCGGTGGAGAGGAGCGAGGAAGATGATGATGAGGATGCACGAGGTGGTCGAGATGGTCGAAAAAGAGATGAGGGGAAACGGAGGCGAGGAAGTAGGGAGCGGGAAAGAGAAGGAGATGGAGGCCAAGTGAAGAGAGGCACGATATATATGATTTCAGGAGGACCGACGGACGGGGACTCGAATAATGCAAGGAGAGGCCATGTTCGAGCAATGAAGAGGAAGAGGGAAGAGGTGAGTATCACGGCCCGAGTACCAGAAATCAGTTTTCGAGCAGAGGATGCAGCGGGGGTGGTGGTGCCTCACAATGATGCCCTGGTAATTACGGCTGAAGTTGAAGGTTTTGACGTAAAAAGGGTGTTTATAGACACAGGGAGTTCGGTCGATGTCATGTTTTATGACTGCTTTGTACAAATCAACCGGGAGTTGAATGTGGAGCTGAAGCCGGTGGCCACGGCCTTGTATGGTTTTAACGGCGGGGAGGTTATGCCAATGGGAGAAGTGACTCTATCTGTAGCATTGGGAAAGGGAGCGACTCGGAAGGTTCGAATGGTGAGATTTGTGGTCGTAGGAGCTGATTCATCCTACAACATCATAATGGGGAGAACGAGCTTGAACGCGTTCCAGGCGGTCTTATCCACGTACCACATGACGATCAAATATCCGGTGGGCGAAAACGTTGGTGAGATCGCTGTGGATCAACTTACCTCGAGAAGCTGCTACCAGACCACTGTAAGAAACAACAAGCAATTAGCGAGGAGGCAGGTGCACCCTAAGGGGGAGGAAGTTAATCGACCGGTAGGGTCGAGGTCGAAGGAGGAAAGACATAAGCCAGAGAAGGGGAAGGAGAATGTCGAAATGCAGCCGGGTGGCGAAGTGGAGGAGATACAGATGGTTGAGGGGTGCGAAGAAAGGAAGTTCCGGATTGGGAAGGAATTGGAGGAGCCGGTGAAATCGAGGCTAATTAAGGTGATAAGAGATTTTGCGGATGTGTTCGCATACTCGACGGAGGAGTTGACCGGCATCAAGGCCGAGGTTATTGAGCACCGGTTGAACATCGACCTCACGGTAAGACCGGTGAAGCAAAAAAGGAGACACCACGGGGCAGAGATGGATAGGGTAATCGAGGTGGAAGTAGAAAAACTCTTGGTGGCAGGTCACATAAAAGAGATTCAGTTCCCATAGTGGCTATCGAACACGGTTATGGTCTCAAAGTCAGAGGGGAAATGGAGGATGTGCATAGATTTTCGAGATTTGAACAAAGCATGCCCGAAGAATTTATATCCACTTCCAAGGATCGACCAGTTGGTCGACTCCACAGCCGGGTGTGAGTTACTGAGTTTGATGGACGCATCCCAGGGTTATCATCAGATCCCACTGGCTCGAGAGGATTGGAAAAGGGTCAGCTTTGTAACAAGCCGTGGAACATACTGCTATGTGGTGATGCCATTCGGTCTAAAGAACGCAGGGGCGACATATCAGAGGTTGGTGGTTAAAGACATGATCCCAAGCCGATACTTTGGCATGTACCACCCCTTCCAGGTCCATCACAAGGATCTGCTTACTTCGAATTCATGAACGATTCTGGGATTTGAATCTAAATCTTTAAGGATCAGCTGGGAAGGAACATGGAGGTGTATGTAGATGATATGCTGGTAAAGAGCAAAGAGGAAATTGACCATGTAAACGACTTGAAAGAAACATTCATGACCCTCCGAAAGTATGGGATGAAGCTGAATCCCGCTAAGTGCTCATTCGGGGTCGAATCCAGAAAATTTTTGGGCTACATGGTCACGAAGAGGGGGATCGAGGTCAACCCGGAGAAGGTGAGGGCGGTGATCGAGATGCAGCCCCCCACGAAGGTGAAGGAGATGCAGATCCTAACTGGTCGAATAGCAGGCCTGAGTCGCTTTATTTCTAAGGTAGCTGAGAAAAGCGGGCCCCTATTTAAGACACTCAGGAAAAGCTCGAAATTCCAGTGGACAGAAGAAGCCCAGAAAGCATTCGAGGAGTTGAAGAGGGTGCTGGTCGACCTCCCACTATTGGCAAAACCTGTGCAAGGGGAGGACTTGGTGTTATATGTGTCCATCGGTGAGACGGCAGTAAGCTCGGTGTTATTACGGGAGGAAGGGACAACCCAATTTCCGATCTATTTTGTAAGTAAGGTGATGCAAGGGGCGGAGAGGAGGTATTCGGAGATTAAAAAAGGGGCCTTGGCGGTGGTGGTCACAGTAAGGAAGCTGAGACCATACTTCTTGGGACATAGGGTGAAGGTCCGAACGAATATGCCATTGGGAGAAACACTGGGTCGACCCTCTGTGTCGGGGCGATTAGTCAAATGGGCAGTCGAGCTGAGTGAATACACAAATATCTACGAGCCGAGGAGGGCGATTAAGGCTCAAGCACTGGCCGACTTTATACAAGAGGGGACGAAGGAGAGCGAGGAGTCTGAAGGGGTGTGGCAGGTGTTTGCAGATGGATCAGTGTCCAGGGCCGGAGGTGGCCTGGGCATCGTACTTATGTCGCCGAAAGGTGACAGCCTGGAGTTCGCAATCAAGATGGCCTACCAGATATCAAATAATGAAGCAGAATACGAGGCGGTCATTAAGGGACTCAAACTGGCCTTAAGTGGCGGAGCTCGAGCAGTACAGGTGCATTCGGATTCACAATTGGTGGTGGGTCAATTCCAGGAAGGGTTTGAGGTCCGGGAAGAAAGGATGATGAAGTATGTGGAGGAGATAAAGAAGCTGCAGGGAGAGTTTGATTCTTTCGAATTAATCCAGATACCTCGAGGAGAAAATGGTCGAGCGGATCTGTTAGCTGAAGTGGCACAAAGTCTAGTGGACTGCAAGAGCAGAAGTATGACCTTGTTGCACATGGAGAAGAGTGTGGTCGAGAAAGAGGTGGTCGAGATAGAAGAAGTCGAGGATTGGAGGGCACCGATAATAAAAGAATTGAAGGAAGGAGCCGTTAAAGTGATAAGGAAATTTTTCAAGCATGGAGGGGTTCTCTATAAGAGGTCGCACGCGGGCCCCCACTTGCAATGTGTAACCGGAGAAGAAGGGCGATATGTGTTGAAGGAAATTCACAAGGGCTGCTGCAGCGACCACAGCAAGGCAGGTTCCTTGGTAGCAAAGGCTCTAAGAGCAGGATATTTCTGGCCAACAATGAGAGAAGATGCAAAAGAGATGGTGCGGAAATGTTTGCAATGCCAGAAACACGGCCCACTCATTCACCAACCGGCCGAAGCTATGACAGCGATGAGTTCTCCCATCCCGTTCGCACAATGGGGGATCGACCTGGTTGGGCCCATGCCCCAAGGAACCGGACAGAGGAAGTTCTTGATTGTCGCGGTCGATTACTTCACGAAGTGGGTGGAGGCTGAACCCCTGGCAAAGATCACGGAGGTGAAAGTGATACATTTTCTATATGATAACATATGTTGCAGGTTCGGAGTTCCTAAAGTGTTGGTGTCGGACAACGGGACCCAGTTCAATGGCAAACGGATCCGGGCATGGTGCGAGGACATGAAAATTGATCAACACTTCGCTTCAGTCGCACACCCGCAGGCCAACGGGCAGGTCGAAGTGACCAACAGAATTATATTGAACGGTCTGAAAACAAGATTGGAGAAGGCATCGGGAGCATGGGTGGATGAACTTACTTCGGTGCTATGGGCGTACAGAACAACACCCCGATCGACCACTGGGGAGACACCGTTCAGTATGGTATACGGCATGGAGGCTTTGTTGCCAATAGAGGTCGAGGTTCAGTCCCAAAGATCGAGCACGTATGATTGAGAACAGAATGAACATCTGATGATGGCAGAGCTCGACACAATCGAAGAGCTTCGAGAGAAGGCAACAATCAGAGTCGAGGCGTACAAACAAAGGATGCGAGCAGCGCATGATAGAAAAGTGAAAACACGAAGATTCCAGGTGGGTGACTTGGTGTGGAAGAGAGTCGATGTGCTGAAGCACGTCGAGAAACTAGAGCCAAACTGGAAAGGACTATACCTGGTCGAAAAGGTCCATGCTGGAGGGGCATACTCTTTAAAGGATGCTGAAGGAAGATCTCTAGCCAGGTCATGGAATGTGGCTAACTTAAAGAAATATTATGCTTAATTTTTTTTCTTTTTTACTCATTACCACCAATGTAATGAAATGCTTTGCTCGATGATGAATGAAATCGCGTATTGAAGTTTCTACAATTTACTGTTTACCGAATTAACTTTATATAGTCGGAATCCCTGGATTAACCTTGATGACAGGCTGTATGTGAAAAATCCATCATGATTAAGGCCATGAGGCTGGATGGTCGTATGTAACGACCACCCCTTTGAGGGTGGGCATGCGTTTCGAAGGAAAAATCCATCATGATTAAGGCCATGAGGTTGGATGGTCGTATGTAACGACCACCCCTTTGAGAGTGGGCATGCGTTTCAAAGGAAAAATCCATCATGATTAAGGCCATAAGGCTGGATGGTCGTATGTAACGACCACTCCTTTGAGGGTAGGCATGCGCTTCAAAGAAAAAATCCATCATGATTAAGGCCAGGAGGCTGGATGGTCGTATGTAACGACCACCCCTTTGAGGGTGGGCATGCGCTTCAAAGAAAAAATCCATCATGATTAAGGCCAGGAGGCTGAATGGTCGTATGTAACGACTACCCCTTTGAGGGTGGGCATGCGCTTCAAAGAAAAAATCCATCATGATTAAGGCCAGGAGGCTGGATGGTCGTATGTAACGACCACCCCTTTGAGGGTGGGCATGCGTTTCAAAGGAAAAATCCATCATGATTAAGGCCATGAGGCTGGATGGTCGTATGTAACGACCACCCCTTTGAGGGTGGGCATGCGTTTCAGAGGAAAAATCCATCATGATTAAGGCTATGAGGCTGGATGGTCGTATGTAACGACCACCCCTTTGAGGGTGGGCATGCGTTTCAAAGGAAAAATCCATCATGATTAAGGCCATGAGGCTGGATGGTCGTATGTAACGACCACCTCCAGGGGTGGGCATATGTGTATGTGTATGGTGCGACTAAATTATTCAAGTAATCGTGAAGCAAACACACAAACATCACTTAAATAACGACGAATGGACTGGCTCATGAAAGCGTATTATGCATATATCAAAGTTTGTATTAGTTATACTCCGAAGTCCGCTTTGGTATTCCAATCGAGAAGTTATGACAAAGGTAACAAATCGAAGTATCAAAAACATTATTGAAGATCAAGACAAGTCAAAAACAAAATACCACTATTCCACGATTATTGCATAGTTCATTAGAATACATAATTCAAATTCACAATGGACAAAATGGAAAATACAAAGCTACATCTAAGGAGGAGGAGCGGCGGTCGAGTCGGCATTACTCTGATGGGTGTTGGGATCGAGCGGATGGCCAGTTCCGGAGGTCGAGTCACAAGCTTCGTTAAGTGGACGTTGACGTATAGACTCGATCAGCATGGCCAGCATCGAGGCAGGAGGAGTGAGGCCATCGGGTAGAGCATAAGTCTTCTTTAGAATGTCTGATCGAGCCAGAGTCCTTTCGAGCAGTCCTGACCACCACTCATGCTCGAGAGGTAAGCTAGGATCGCCCTGGAAACTGGAAGGAACCTTGGGCAAGGCCTCCCAAATAACCATGGGGTCGAGCTGCTCGAAATCGTCCTCGGTGATCTGCTCGCCAGCCTTCTGTAGGGCGAACTGAAAGCAGTCCACCCCAAAATCCTGCACCTCCTTCAAAAAGGGGGGCGACCGCA